AGCGGGCTGCGCAGCGCGGCCGCGGGGCCGAAGTAGCGCAGGTTGTTGGCGCAGATGGCGATGTCCTGCCCGTGCAGCCGCGCGTGGTGCTGCCCAGGGTGCTGCTGAGGGTGCTGGGGGGGCGGTGGGGACGCCTCGTCCTGCCCCGGCTGGTTTTTCAAGATCCCTGCGAACTCGCTGTAGCTGCCCTTACTGTTCCCCCGGCGGTGCCGCGGTTTGCTGCGGTAGCGGCTTTTGCCGCTCGGCGTGGACATTTTGGGGCTTCCTGAGACCGGTGAGCCGTTGGACACTGCCTCCGTGCTGGGGATGCCCTCGGACTTCAGCAGGTCTGGCCTGGGAGACAGTGACAAGGTACACATTAGACCAGAGACGAAGAGGTGATGTTAGGTTGGAGCCAGGGTGAAGAGGCAGCTGCAGCCACAAGCACACTCTGCTTCCTAAACTCTACATCCTGCCTTCCCCTCAGCTGTTCAACTCCTGCATTTGGTTCTCTTTGATCCTCTCCACACAATGTCCTTTCCCTTCAGCCCATCCTGCTCTACCCTCCCCTCTTGCTCCTTTTTCCAATAGCTGTCACACACTTTTCTTGTTCCGCTCTTGTTTGTCTTGTTCTGCTCCCAAAACAGCTCCTCCCAGGACCTCGGGGCAGGGCATGGCTCTTACTCTGTGCCTGCACAACATGGTCCAACTGTGCTGATGGTGATCAGCCTGCCCATCTCAGAGCCAGGTGGGGATGTTAGTTCAAAAGGGATTATTCACTGTTAATCAGGACTAACTCCTGGAAATCTCCAAAAAAGGGAAGAATAAATAGACAACTCCAATGGAAAAAGTAAACTGACTTTCTAAAAGTCATGCAGAAGAGAATTAGCTGAAAGGACAGCATGAATTCCCAAATCCCAGTTTAATTCCTCAACAATTAATCCATCCTCCACAATCCCTCACCCTGCTGATTACCATCCAGTCAAGGATCATCTAACTGTTCTCTGCTTGGACAGTTAGGAATTCGACACAACACGTGAGATACCTCCTGCCCAAGCACCATCACCTGTGCAAAATCTGGACCAACAGTTCATTCATCCAACCAAACCATCCTGTGGCTCTGTGGTTCCAGAGCTGCCCAGATGGATTCACCTCTTCCACCTTCAGATAACGAAAGAGTTATGATTCTGAGGATCAGACCAGGCCCAGGAGAGAACACCCTTTGTCCCACCCTCTGTGTCACCAGACTGGAAGGGAAGGAACTGCTTTGCTCGTCCCAGTGGGGATCTAACCCTGGACTGGGCTGTCACCCCTTACCGTTTAGTCTGGCTGCCTGGTTTGTGGGAGACTCCTTTCCTCTTCATCAGCTTCTCCACTGTATTGGGGTGGATTATTGGTCTGACTGGGTGGCGTTTGTAGGTCCCAGGGTATTTCTTTTCCACTGCTTGTTCCCTCCTGAAACATAGGGGAAAGGAAAAAAACCCAACAAAACCAGATCAGATTTTCTGTCTATCCAAGTGCAGCTCCCACAGGACAGGAACACAGCTCTGCAGGGAGCACACTGTGTGCCTGTTTCCCAGCCATGGCTGGGTGCAACACAACGTGCTGGGCTGGGAAAGGACACAGTCATTCCTAAACTCCCTCTGCAGGGATCAGGCAGCTGGAACAGGGCCCTGGCACACTGCTCTCTCTACAAAGGGGCCAAAGGATGCCAGCACCAAATGGGAGAAGTGCCTTTCTGCCAGTCAGCAAACACTGGGTAACGCTAAGGGCACTGAGTGCTGTGCAGGAATCCACCCTGGAGGGAGCTCTCCCTGCTTGTCAGCACTTTCCTTCCCCCTCTGTTTGTCAGGGGACACTGAATCTACAAGTACTGCTGTGCAGTTTGGAAATGAAGCCTTGATTTTGTTCTCCTGTGTGCAGACGGCCACGTGCCCAGAGATACGTACTTGATGAGCTCCTTCTCCCTGACCTCCAGCTGCAGCATTATAGCACTGAGCTCCATGTACAGGTTGTTGGCTCGTTCCAGCTTCCTCTCGTAGTGCTCACGGATATCCAACGCGTGTCTGAAAGCAGAGAAGTCATTATTCCAGTCTCATGTCCACAGGCTAAGACAGGAGAGTAAGCAAAATACAGGTGCTTTAGGAAAAGGCCTTGGAAAAGTAAAAGTTGGCAGCTGCATGGCACTGAATCCCAGACAAAGCTAACAGTGAATGAGGGTTAAGAGCCTGATAGCAATAAATCAGAGTATGATCTAGAAAGTGCCTAACAGTCAACTGACCTCAGCTCTTCTCTTCGACGCCGAATCAGTTCCTCGTCCAGCCGGTGGATACACGTTCCTTCACTTTTAATCTTCTCAAAATGTTTCTTCACTTCTTCTCTCCACTCAGCCTAGGGAAGCAATTGACTGTTAGGAATTTACAAAGAACTGGGATCCCTAGATGCACCACATTAAAACTATTGGGCAATGTTCTTTGTGCCTGCAGAGAATCACAGGACTGGGCTGAGAATGTGTTTCTGTCAAATGAATTATTTGGGGTAACAACACTGCGCATGTTTAGTATCAGCATTTTCAGATGCTATTTATGTTCCCATTAGGTCATTTAAAACATATCTGCATCTTCCAAAAAGTATTTCTAAAGATTCCCAAAACTCTTCTTGTTCTAATAGAACATTTTCTTCCCTCTTTGCAAGTGCAGGTAAACAGAAAGGCTCATGATTTGCAAAGCTGCATTCATGGCAACAACGGCTGTCACCAGGTGAGTCTGCATTTGCTCACTGGTTCCTGCAGCTTTAATAAATGCTGCCAGATCCTTACAGACACCCTGACACTGTACTCTGCACTGGAGGAAAAGGTTCCCTTCTCCTTCCCTCCTCGGCAGCAGACACCAGCTCACTGGGTAGGACTCAGAGGAATCTCTAAGATCAGACTTCCAAATCTTCCCTGAAAGTCCCAGAGCCCCTTCACTGCCCTGTGCCAGCTCCGTGCTCCTCATCTTCCTCCAAGTGCAATGGTTCTGCTCCCAGCAGCCTCAGGGTCTCCTGCAGTACAGCACTCCTGGTAGAACAGCTGGAGCAGAACATCAGTAGTCAGGAGGCAGGTATTGCTGAGTTTCTGACTAAGTCAGCAGATGTCTCAGCTTGGGAGAGATTGATTGAAACCTTTCAAACACCACTTGGTTTGCCTCTCCCCAAGAACCAAGCTGGAATCACAGATCCAGACTCCTGCTGTACTCCTGGGCCGCAGCCCTCCCCTGTCACCTGGGATTTGAAGTAGGTTTCCTGAGGAGTAGCCAGCACATCAGCAGAGGCAATGTCCAGGTGCATCAGAGTCTGCCGGAAGGACGGACGGTTCCGGGGCTTGCTCTGCCTGCAGGGAAGCAAACACACCCAGGGTGAGGTGAGGGGCACACTGGAAAGGCACTCCTGCCCTCTGGAAAGGATTCCCTAGGACCTCTTCTCAGCACTGTGCAGCTGACACATTACAGCAAAGGAGCTTTCTGTTTTCTTGTTTGCTGATGTGAGTTTACTGTGCCAGAGTTGGTTTGTATTCAGGTTTTGAGTTGTGATGATCTAGTCTGAAGAAATAAAAGCGGTGGAAGACCAGGAAACGTGACTGCAAAGTGAAAAGACAAGATACAAACTGAAGCTGTTCCTAACTTGTTTGTCAAGAAGAAACAGATCTCAGTTCATTATCCCATCAATGTCCAAATTTTATAACGGGAAGGCTCCATCTGGTAGAAATTATCACTTACATTCCACATAACAGGGTGTTTATCAGCACCAAAGTATCTGTGCTGCCCCACAGCACCTGCCTGAGCCTGCAGAGAGCTCTGCACATCCCTACGGGATCACAGACAAGCACAAAAACCTTTGGATTTTTGAGGAAAAAGACCAGCACTCGAGCGTCACGCCTGAACCCACCCTGCTCAGTACACGAGCAGCTTCCTGAGCCTCCTCTTGCCTACAAACCACCTCCTCCCACTAGATGGGGACACAACATGCTGCTCCTGCCCTGCACAGCCTCGTGCAGCACAGACTGTGCAAGCCCCACCTGGAAACAGCCCCTGGAAACGGTCCCTGCTGCTCTGGCCTGTCTTCCCCTTTGTGCCACCGACAGGATGGCTGGGAAAACTCATGGAGTGGGAAAATGCTGCAAGACCCTTCACACTCTGTGTACAAACACAAAGCATCAACGCATAAACCAAGAAAATTTCAACTCTAATCTGGTATGTGGAGTGAACTGAAAGCATTTTCCACATCTGAGCCTGTAAAATCTGTGTTCCAGACAGAAAGCTTGAATTTGTCTTTATCTAGTCCAAAAGCCAAGGGGGTTTCAGAGTAAGAAATCAGTTCCTTTCACTCTGCAAACACCCCCAAGAAATTCTACCCTTACTTCCCTTCCAGCTCCTTTTCTCTTCCCACAGAGCCACTTTTTCTCCCCTGCTTTGCTACCACAAAGCAACCCCCTCTGTGCAGGCTGCTGAATCTGCCCTTGGTGCTGCCTGCTCTGATCCACACTGGGCAGGTAACTCATGGGTCACTGTCCCTTGCTGGGGCTCCACCAAGCTCTATTCCCCCACGGTTGCTCAGCCCTTTCCCCTGACAGTGTCTGTCTGCTCCCTCCACCCAGCAAATCACTCACATCTCTCCCTACTTCCTCTAAGCTCCAAATGTCCTTCTGGGGCCTGAGCCTGCTGCCACACGGAAGCAGAATCCAGAATGTTTTGCTCTCAGGACAAGTGTGAGAGTATTTAAGAGCCCTCTGCTCTGGGCTCAACACTCCTGCCCTGACTGGTCTCACTAGGAGTCTGGCAGGAGCTGGCAATCAGCCCCAGGTCTGTGCAGTTTGGGGTTCAGGCTCTTACCAGGTTTGCTTCATGAGGATTTTGAAGCCATCTGGGCAGGTGGAAGGGACAGGGAGGTGCAGGCTGTTACTGCCCACTCCCCAGATGATGGCTGAAGAGTCCACGTCCTTGTAGGGAATCTCTCCTGTAAGCAGCTCCCACAACACTACCCCGAACGACCTGATGAAGACATAAACCAGGGTAAACTGAATCCACACAGAAGCTGTTACAAGAAACATCTGGAGCCTGAAAAACACCATTTGTTTGGCAAAACAGGGAAATATGTCTGTCTGGCCTGAAATTGCAAGTAGGTGCAACAGTGGTTTTTAATACCCCAGGAAACAGTTCCTCCTCGGCCCCAGAACACCAATCCACACTGGGTTTCATCCACCTTCTCCTATCTCTTTGTGAGACTGTAAAAATCCTGAAAGACATTTCTGTACAAATTAAGTCTTACTCCTGTTAAATAAAAAGGAAAGTCATCTTCTCTCAGACTTTGGACTGTCCTTAGTAGTGAGAACAGATCATTGACTACTGCACAGACAGAACTGATAAGTGTCTTACAGAGACAACACAACAAAAGGTTTTATGGCTTTTTTTTTTTAATATTTAACTTCTTTTTCCCTCGTCAAAAGCTCCTTCTGCTCTTACCTGTACTCCTAGGTAAGAGTTTCATAGGTTTGAGGCTTAGCACTATAACTACTGCAATATGGAAATTGGGAAACAAATGCAACTTGCATAAGAGTCAGACCAAAAACACAAGAGCCTCATTTGATATTGCTTTGTGCTCAAGAATGGAAAAAGAAAGAAAAAATTAAGAGAATTCAGCCTGGGAAAGAACCTCCTACAAGAACTGAAAGATGTAGGTAAGGAAATTCACTTTGCTTCTCTTCCTTAGTGAAATGATCAGGAAAGATCAATACCTTAATTTGTAACAGCCAAGTGTTATTTGCCTTATTTACAACCTTGACCCAATGAAACACCACAGCAAGTCCAACCCAGTCAGTGCAGAGGTCTGAACAACCACCAGTCAGGAAACAACTCCATGTGAAAAACGTTGCACTTTCAAAGCTCACTGGCTTCGAATCATGTGGAGAAAAAAACAACCCAAACAAGCAGAATGTGAACATTTTCCCCCCTCAAAGGTCTTTGGAACACAGGGATCCAGGTGGCTGGACAAAGGCAAGCCCATCTGGTTTCAGCTTTGTTATGATTAAGGACTGGCAAAGGCTTTTCAAGACTCCTGATAAGATTATAGATTTATTTTTTAGCATGCTGTTAAAGATGAGAGAGAGCAGACACATAAGCAGCTTAGGAACTGTTCTCATTTGTTGTCAGCATCCATGAACATTGCTTTTACTCATCCTGGGGGAGGCATGGATGGCAAGGAGGAGTCTGAGCAATCTCCACTGCAGCGACTCAGGAGGAATCGGCACCAAAGGCACCTCTAGGTCTGCACCGAAGAGCAACATCTCCAAGTCCCTGAGGGAAGGAGCAAAGGAGCTCACAGTCCCCAGCAGAGCTAGCAGCTGGTCTGACTGCACATGATGCTTCACACAATATTCCTGAACCTCTGGTTTCACTCCAAAGCACAGAAAGCCAAGGGAGGAAATCCAGCTCCGTTCCTCCTTGTGATGCTGTGATTCCAAGGGAGCAGCTCAGACACTCCCAGGAGAGCTGGCTGTGCTGTGGCCATACAAAATGAACACACAGAACACTCTGGACACCAGAGCAGTGGCACACCACGGGTCATACCACCTTCCCTGCAGGGAACCTTGACCTTCAGGTGAAGCCCAGCCCCAAGCTGAAACTCGAGCAGCAGCTGCTGTCTGACTCCACCGCTCTCCCAGCTGCCTGTGGCTTTGTCCTGCACCTCCTGCTGTGCCAGGGAGGTGACAGCATCTGAAGCTGTAAAACCACGAGAAGCAAAATTCCTCCTGGCTGTAGAGCAGAGAAAGGGCATTTATCCTGGCTGCTGACATTTAATATGCAGCAATAATGAGGCAGAAACAGAGATGCAGTTCCCTTGAGGGCCCTGAAACCTGTGGAGAAGCTTCCCAAAGGAGCTCCAAGGCTGTGTCCTCTCTCAAGCATGTTTAATAGCACAGACACTGAACCTTTGTGTTCCTTTGGACAAAAAGTATGTTCCACATGGGATGAAAACAGGTTTCAAAACTCTTACAAAGTATCCTGGTTTCCTCCCTCTCTGATCCAGAGTTACACTCACTGGACTATGATAATCCTGTGGCTGCACATGTAACAGCCCAGCCCCAAGTGGGACCCCTCACACCAGCAGGGAGAAGCTTCCCTAGAGCTCCAGGTGTCCCTGGAAGGGGGAGAAAGCAAAGGAAAAGCTCCCTGGCTGCAGAGCAGGCTCTGAGCACCAGCACTAGGAGAAAGCTCTGGCCTGAATAATGACACAGGGAGGAACCTCTGGAAGACACAGTCTGCACTGAGTCTCACTAGGAACCTGCAGATCTCAACACACATTTCTCTTCCCATTCCAGCCCATGGCCCAGTAACAAAGCACTGCAGCTAGCACCAGGTAGGAGGAGACAGGAACAGTCCACCATAGAGCAGACCATCCCCAGGCAGGGGACAAGGACAGAGTGTGGAAAGTGCTGGAAAGCCAAGTGGCTCAGCAGGAGGTGAGGAGAGCTGACCCTGGACCCCACTCACCAGATATCCACCTTCTCGGAGACAGGCTCGTTGCGAATCACCTCTGGGGCCATCCAAGCCACTGTTCCTGCAAAGGACATCTTGGTGCTCTTGTCACTGAGCTCTTTAGATGTACCAAAGTCCGAAATTTTTACTGCATCGGTGTGTGTAACTAAAACACTGGACGGAAAAAAAAAAGAAAGAAATCAGCACTTGGTGATTTTTCCCTGTACCACAAGAGCCACTGGGAGTAAATCCCTTAGTCAACACGACCAGCTGATGAGCCCACGCTGCTCACAACTGCAGTGCAAGAGAACAGGTTGGGTATTTTCCCCAGTGAAAGCTCTCTGGGGTGGCTGTGTTTTGTGCCCCAACTGCGTTTCTAAGTGCTACAAGTCAAAAATCCATCTGGATCAAACTGCAAATTTACGAGGAACTGAGGACTCGGAGGCAAAGCTGCACCTGAAACTTGCTGCAACCCATCCAAAAGCATTACCCTAACACTGTCACAGCCATGTCACAGGCTGAAGCAGTGACAAACAGCTAGGGAACAAGAATATAAGCAGCCACAGTGTTTTAGTCAGACAGCAATGGAGAAATGAGAAAGGCACACTCCAGAAAAACAGAGAAAAAAGGAGGAAAACTAAAGTAGAGGGCAACAGAATATCCCACTTTCCAAAACAACAGACACCACCAAATCATTAAGGATGTCCTGACTGCTGTTTATCATGTAAGACACAGGGTAAAATTAAACTGCAGCAGAGGAGGGAAGTGCCAACAAGCATCAGTAGTTTCACCCTCATAGCTCTGAGTCAACATCAGAAAATTCTGACCTAACTTTAAACTATTCCTCAAGAAAAAAACCCAGAGAACCCCAACTGGGGGATGTTTAAGCAGCTACAGACTTACTTTGGTGAGCTGAGGAACCTCAACTGGGGGATGTTTATGCAGCTACAGACTCACTTTGGTGACTTGAGGTCTCGATGGATGATTTTGTGGAGGTGCAGGTAGTTCATGCCGCTTGCAATGCCCGTGGACCAGTCCACCAGCAGCCGTGGGGTGACCTTGCGCCCCGCGCGCAGGACCTCGTAGAGCTGTCCGTGTGCACAGTACTCCATGATGATACAGTAGCACGGGGCTTGAGTGCAGACTCCCCTGCCAAACCAAACACACGTGAGGATCAGCAGACAGTCTCACAGGAAGGATGGCCCCCACCTTGCCCTACAGACATCTTAGCTCCTGGATGAAATATATTTCTAACGAGTTCCATGACCTACTTGAAGGCGATGATGTTCGGGTGTTTGAGCTTCCGCAAGTGCTTGATGTCGGTTTCGTTCTGGTCTCTCACTTTCTTGATGGCCACCTCCTCGGCGCGGAACTTGCCCAGGAAGACAGCTCCCTGTGCTCCACTGCCCAGCCACTGCAGCTCCGAGATCTCCTCGAACGGCACCTCCCACGTGTCTAGGCACAGCCAAGCACATGAGGTACGTGTCATATGAGGAATGTCACAGGGGAAGGGCTGAGGGAGTTGGGGTTGTTCAGCCTGGAGAAGAGGCTCAGGGGTGACCTCATGGCTCTCTCCAACTCCTGCCAGGGCTGGAGAGAGGTGGGGGATGTGTGTCCTGCCATGGCTGCAGGGAGAGGATAGAGGGAATGGCCTTGAGCTGAGCCAGGGCAGAGTCAGATTGGATGTGAGGAGAAATATTTTCCCTGTCAGGGTGTTCAGGCACTGGAATATTGCCCAGGGAGGAGGTGGAGTCACCATCCCTGGAGGTGTTTCAGAGGTGTCTGGATGTGGCACTGGAGGATATGGTTTAGGGTTTAGGAGTTCCAGCAGTGACAAGGTTAATGGTTGGACTCAGTGATCTTACAGGTCTCCTCCAACCTTGATGACTCTATGATTCTATGAGCACCACAAAAATGTTCTGCTGTACAACCACCCCAGGACAACACCTGCATCTCCCTCAGAGTGGGCTTTTCTGGAGGTGGCAGGTAGCATCTTCTCCCAGTACAGGCACAGCTGAGGCACACACCACACACGCTCAGCATCCCTTTCATCCACGACAGTCACCTCCAGCCTGCTCACTCCCATTCTTCCAGCTGCTTGTTCAGAGCTAACCACTGAGGTGAGCCAGTTGGACTTGGCAATCAGCAGCTGAAGGTGCCAGGGACCATGGATTGGCAGTTTTGGGAAGAGATCCTCTACCCCAGCACTGAACAAGGATGGCATCTCCTACAAAGCACATGACTCCACTGAAAAGCATAGATGAGGAGAAACATCTAACATCCACAGAATCCTACAATGTTAAGGGGTTGGAATGGACCTTACAGATCATCCAGGCACAACCTCTCCTGCCTCAGGCAGGGACAGTAACTAGATCAGGTTGGTCAAGGCTTTATCCAGCCTGGCATAAAAATCCACACTTTCACACAACTTTTTCTTTTCAATTCACAATTCATTCACAACTGACATAAAAAATATTGAGAGGGTTTTTTTCACCCCCACAAAACAGGCAATAAAAGGGAAACTCAGAGGTGGCAAAACACAGACCAGCAACCACCAACTCACCCATCACAAAGCACATTGACCACCACCAGCCACAGAAACAAGTCTTTCCAACATCAACATTGCTTCTATCAGGTCAAACAGGAAAAAAGTCTTAAGCAGTTCCCAGACAGGGAAAATGCTGGAGTGGTCCAGTGGCACTGCATACAACTGCTGCGAGAGAGTTGCACCCATCAGAGCAGAGAGCCTTGTTGTCTGCAAGTCACCTTGAGACTACCTTAAAGCTCACGAACAGCAAGATGAAAGGATGAAAGGCAGGCAATTATTTATTTACTGTAACTCAGTAAAGGTGTAAGTTTGGAGAATAAATTATTTAGCAGCAAAAACAGGCAGTAACCCACTAATTTCTGAGACAAAAAGAAGTCACACCTGCTCAGATCCCTATTAGAGATGAGTGCAGAGATGTCTTCTCATCTCATCCAATCTCGGAGGCACTGGATGTTCCCAGGCTTGCAACTGGGATTCTGCCAAAGTGTCCATTTTAGATGCTATCACCACTGAAGGGAAACTGATATACCAACTGTCCATGGGCTGATCCCAATGGAGCCTCTCCCGCAGCTCATCCCTGGGACACAGAGCCCAGCTGGCTGTCTCCTGAGGGATGGATGACTGCTCCCCAGGCACAGCCATGGAAAGCCAGACCCCAGTGCTCCTTCTGCTCACTGAACTCGAAACAAAAACACTGTTCATCCACAGCAAGAATTTCCTGTGCCTCGGCAGGGCAGAGTTCATCCCTCGGCACATGTTCCTTCCCAGACACAAGGCTGTTCTCCATACTGATGGATCTGCTCACAGCTCGGAGCTGTAACTGCTGTTTAAGTCTTTAGACATTTAGACACTGAAGGTCTTTTAAATAAGGAAAATAAAAGGGAGTAATGACATGCACAGATCAGCTGAGAGGCTCTGTATTGCTATTTAGTTGGCAGATGCATCACTTGGGAAAGGAGGTGGCAAGTTCTGCTGGTTTGTGTGTGTCCGTGAACTGCATTTCCACATGGGCAAACTGAAACTATTCTGTGGTACTGAAATAGCTGTTTACTGAAGGTCTTTTAAATAAGGAAAATAAAAGGGAGTAATGACATGCACAGATCAGCTGAGAGGCTCTGTATTGCTATTTAGTTGGCAGATGCATCACTTGGGAAAGGAGGTGGCAAGTTCTGCTGGTTTGTGTGTGTCCGTGAACTGCATTTCCACATGGGCAAACTGAAACTATTCTGTGGTACTGAAATAGCTGTTTAGAGAATCACATCACAGAATGGTTTGGGTTGGAAAGGACCTTAAAGAGCATCCAGTGCCACCCCTGCCATGGGCAGGGACACCTTTCATCAGCCCAGGTGGCTCCAAGCCCTGTCCAACCTGGCCTGGAACACTCCCAGGGATGGAGCAGCCACAGCTGCTCTGGGAAACCTGTGCCAGAGCCTCAGCACCTCCCAGGGAGGAATTCCTTCCCAATCTCCCATCCAGCCCTGCCCTCCGGCAGTGTGTAGCCATTCTCTCTCTATTCCTGTCCCTCTAGGCCCTTGTCCCAAGTCTCTCTCCACCTTTACTCATGGGAAGTCTGTCGTTCCTGCACAGGACACAAAACACTGACATCATTTCCATGAAGCACCTGAATTTTGTGAGCAGTAGTGGTTAACTACTGCTATTGCCTCAGAACACCACTTTCCCTTAATATTCCCTATTAGGTAATACTCCCTACTTTTAACATTCCCTTTTACCCTCTGCAATGGCAAAGGCTGAGAGACATTGCAAACAAAGCAAGCAGAAGTCCACGTGGTTCCTCCTGCAAAGTCATCTCGTGTTTATCTGGGAACTGAGATCCTCTCCTGTATCCCCCTTTCACCCTGATCATCAGGGGCAAGATTCAGGGAAGAGGCTTCAGTGTGGCAACAGGGAAACATCCCACACCTTTGGGAATATCAGGGAGAACAAAGAGCCAAACCATCTGTAACATACAGTGCAACAGTCAGACCCTTCTGGGCCCGCACAAACCATGGGGATACTTCCCTTCAATAAATGAAAGGGTAATAGCAGCATGAATTACGCAAGAACTTGCATCTCTGAGGTGATTAAGGACCATTTGGGCAGAATGATGGGAATCTGTTTCCCATGGGGACCAAACACAGGAGCAGCCGGAGCCATTGAGCCAATCCACGTGGAGGAAATTTTGCCGTGTGCCAGCACTGGTTCCTTGCCAGCCTTGGCACTGGGACAAGATGCATCTCTGGTTTACAAAACCCACCAACACCAGCACACTTTGACAGACACCTTGGTCTCCAGGTGCTCCTCAAAATGCTCATGATAACAGGAAACAGGGAACCTGTGAAAGGGAAGGTGACAGCAACTCCTGAAGACAGATCCTTAATCCAAAGGAAATAACTTGGAAGTCTAGTGAGTCTGTAGGAAACACAAACAAGTCTTATTTTAGAGTGCTGGAGTCCCAACAATCCCAATTTTGTAACTGGGAGAGGTGAATTAAAGAGCTGAGTGGATCTCCCTGGAAGCACTCACCAACAGCCTTTAGAAATCAGAATAAACAACTGGAAAAACATAGTCAGAAGAGATTTTAGGGGTCAAACCCCAAATATTTAAACCTCAAACAACCAGCTATCCCTGGGCAGTACAAAAGCAAACACTCCCTGCAGGAAAGACTCCTCAGCCAAACAGCAGAACTGCCTGTAGCCCCCAGGTGACCAAAGCTCTGCCCAGCGTGTGTCCTGAAGGGAAGCACAAACACACTCCTCATGGTGACCACCTCAGATGTTGGAAAGGATGCTCAAGGAGTGATTTCAGCAATAAAATCAGGTGGAATAATGTGAAAGTTGTTCTTATCTTTTCCCTCATTCACCAAGTCGCGAGCCCAGGCCTTCGCAGCCAATACGGACCCAAGGCTCAGACATCTGCAAAGGACCTGTCTGCATTTTACTGGTTGCAGCTGCACCACAATACCACCACCATGCCTTGCACTCGGGGCCTGCAGGAGATCCAAAGCAGGCAGGGCCGATGGTGAGCACCAGAAAGTACTAGGCAGCATCTGCAGGCAACACGGAACAGTTTGGGCTGGAAAGGATCTTAAAGTTCATCCTGGTCCACCCCCTGCCCTGGACAGGGACACCTTCCACCAGCCCAGTGTGCTCCCAGCCCCATCCAACCTGGCCTGGAACATTCTCAGGGATGGAGCAGCCACAGCTGCTCTGGGCAACCTGTGCCAGTGCCTCAGCACCTCCCAGGGAGGAATTCCTTCCCAATATCCCATCTAACCCTGCTCTCTGGCAGTGGGAAGCCATTCCCCCTTGTCCTGGGACTCCAGGCCCTTGTTCAAAGTCCCTCTCCAGTTCTCTCGGAGGGCTCTACAGGCTAATTTCTTCCTAATTTCTAAGCTAAATCTCTCCTCTGTCAGTTTAAATTCATTCCTATCCCCACCTGCTCGTGCAAAATGTCGCTCTCCCTCTTTTTTATATGCCCCCTTTAAGTACTGCAAGGCCGAACTGGACTCCTACCCCAGCTGCTGATCCAGCCCAACATGAAGGATTGCTTTTGGATGAGGCTCAAAGTAGTCGTTTCATGAAGAGGAAAAAGAAATAATCATTTGCACAGACCCACGGCACCAGCCTAGAGCTGCACAGAAGCTTCCAGGGGCACGAAAGGCCATCAAGCTCCTCTCTCTGCTGCTGAAAGAGCCAGAGACACTTCCTCAGCCTCCTCTCCAAATGCACAGCACTTGCACCAACACAAACTGTGCATCCCCCGTGCTCTTGCTAAAAGGCAGCAAAAATTATCACATACATCAGTTCCTGAACTGCTGGCTCACATGTAGCTGATGAAACGCACACAAAGATGATTTTCTGGTGGCAAAAAGCAAGAATGAGATCATCTGGAAAGCAGAACATGAATATTCTGACAAAACTCTCAAGTTTTAGCACAGAACCAGTTTCAAAAGGTTTATCTGTGGGTAACAGAAGTGTACCACTGCCATCAGGGTCACAGAAGTGCATTGCTGTCACCAGAGCTGGCCAACTGAGCAGCTCCAGGGAAAAAATAGCAATCATTAAAGGAAATCTTCTCACTCCCATTTCTGATGGTGAAGACACTGAAGACAGAGCTCAACCACACAAGCCACAGATCCCAATTAATCCTTAGCCTTACCACATCTGCAGCCAGTTCAAATTTGCCCTGGCAGGAATGGCCTGATGCCAACAGCAAACTGCAAAGCATCCCCAGCTCTGAAGCTGCTCCTGACACAGAGAACAGCAAGACCTCTCTGTGCACCCTCCACACCCAGAGCTGCTCATTCACATTTGTGAGTGCTTTAGTCTCTTTCATTAGTGACTGTCATACAAGTGTCCCCTGTGGGTCACCAAAGCACATATTACACTGTGGTCGCCAGTGCATCTGCTGGCCCAGTTACAGGCCAAACAGGGTCTCTGTCTCACAAGTAGCTCTCCTGAAGCCAGGAGGGACACTGACAGGGACACACGAGCAGGGGATGGCTCAGTGGGGACACTGGGATAGAACAGCCACAGAACTGCAGGGAGCAGCCAGTGCAGCTCTGCATCCACAGCCTTTCCTTGGGAAGTTTTAACTTCACTTAAACCACCGAGCATCCAGTCCAGAGCATTGTAACCCAGACACTGCACCACACCTCCTCTGAATGTCATCCCACGGCTTGGAATCATGTCTTCCTCCCCAGGGGAGGCTCCCAGCCAGCCAGGGCCTTCCAAAACTGTCCACATCCAACCCCACATACTGTGCAATCACCTCAGTAGGGTTAGCCCTCCAGGGAATGTTCACTGTGTCCACTGATAGTCTGAACCACGTGGGACACACTGAGTTTACAACATGTAGATGAACCTTAGAACCGACTGTGCCAAAGGATTTCAGGACCAAGGAAAGCCTTGCTGAGCACACAGAGCTGTTGCTTAGGAGGCACCTGCCATCCTGTCAGGCAGAGCTGTGTTTCCTGCTCTGTTATGCACTAGAAATGACTGACTCTAGGAAGGAGTAAGTTTATTTCAAGGCAGATTCACACCCAACACGTTATTAACAGCTCTTCTCCCTCATATTAGTAGCTGTTCCCCAACTCAACTCTGGGGTTTAGATATGAACCACTCAGAGAGGTTTCCTGGTCACATCTCTTACAATTTGTTTCTGCCATGAAACCCTTTGATTACCCCTGAGAGCCACCCAGGAGACTCCTGCCCCACAGTGCTATGGTGGCCAAGCTGCTCCCATTTCCTACAAGCGTCCACCATTTCAGCTCCCTAATTCTAATGACAGCTTGTTCTTTTCCCATCTGCCACTTTCCTCCCCCTGTGCTAGGGGAGAAATCAGACACCAACAGCAGAGCACACTCTGCTCTTCAGCTTTCAGGAGCCCCTATAGATATATAGATAGCTAGATATGTAATCAACTGGGGCATCACTTATTCCCAAACTGCATGTTATATGTATACTCATACTCACACACACTTACACATTTACACTTACACATCTAAATGAAAAAGGTAAAAATATTAAAGAACACATTTCTACAAAGACAAGTACTGAATCATATTTTGAAGATGAAAATTACTCCTGAATAAAAAGACTTAAAGGTCTTTTTAGAAGAGAATCACCAAGGTTGGAGGACAGCTCCAAGACCATCAAGTCCAACCATTAATCTGCCATTGCTGGAGCCCCTGAACCATATCCTCCAGTGCCAGATCCAGAGCAATACTCCTGCTGCTTGGTGCTCAGCTGGAGACAGCTCTCACACACAGATTCTGCCGGGCAAATGCCTAGGTCAGTGTTTTCCCCCAGCACGAAAAACCTGCAGAAACGCAGCAGTTGGTACAATTCCCCTGTTCCACACCATCCTTTCTGATCCTCACTTACATAAACACCTGGTTCAGATTCAGATCTCGTCACCAGGGTCCCAGACATGGGGCAGAATGGGAAGTTTTGCCTCCCTCACGAGCTGCCTTTGCCACACGTGACAGTACCCAGACAAAACCAGTCACACGGGAAGCTGGAAAAGCAGCCGCGTGTTGCTCTCCTCGTGTCTGCGCACTCAGAAGCGGCGAGCTCCCCTCCCTCCTCACCTTGCTGCTGCAGTTTGTAGTCTGTGGAGTATGCCTTGCCTATGATGTTCCACACAGGCCGCAGGCAGCCGAAAAGTCCCTCCAGAAAGCCTCCGCTGCCGCTGCCCGACCTGTTGAACTGGACCTTCACATCCTCCGTGGCGCTGTTGCTGTCTCCATCCGTGGTGCCCCGCGTGCCCTGAGGGACAGCCGTCTCCGACTCGTCCTGCTCGCGCAGCTGCAGCACGCTGTTCTCAAACTGGTCCCGGGAGTCCTCGCTGATGCTGGTGAGCACGGCCGCGGTGACGGGGCTGCTCACGCTCTCCACGAGCTCTGCCTGCAGCAAACCCTTGTCCCGCACGTCCTCGATAAGCTCTGGGGACGGGTGGTCCCCGGCGACCACGTGCTCCTCAGGGAAGCGGCTGAAGTCTTTGTCCTCACAGAAAGCTTTGCCCATGGAGTTGGGAGAGGAAGACAGGCCCAGGCGCTCCTGAGTGCTGGCCATGATGCCGTGTGTGTGCATCAAGGAGATGGTTCGAGTTGGGACTTAGAGAATTTGCACAACACAACTCAGATGTGACATGTGGACCCAGTACCTGAAACGAGAGGAAAATGAGCAACTTTCAAGTTTTTATTTTGGTGTTCCCACAGCGTTGCACTTTCACTGAGATGAGCTGATAATTAACCAGACTTTCCAGACAACTGCTGAGATTTGGTAAATAATTACTGCCCTAAGAGAAACAAATAAAGGATTCCAACAGAAACTGCACTCGGGCAGTACTCTCGGTAACCTACTGCGGGAACTGCGTGGTAAACAAACCCCACAGTTTTAAACAAGAGCCTAAAGGTCAAAACCATGAAAGACTCTTTGCAGAAGAGTTACTGTGGTATTTATCACGCTGAAGTGGTGCCAGGGCCTTCCCAGCCCAGGTATGGGTTGAGTCCAGCCACTGTTTCTGGGTCGGGCACAGCTCACGAGCTCAAGATTCCTCTGCAGAACTTCACTACAAGGTGTTAGAGAAACAAAGTGCAGTGGTACAGTGACCTGAGGCCACCAAGGGATGGTCTGGAGCTGCTCCCTCAGGGCCCCACCTAGTTATGACCATACTGGACTTTTAGTTCAGTCCTTTCAAGTTCTGTGTAGCAAGATATGTTGAACTCTCTAGCCACAAACATGTCACCCTCATAAACAGCCAAGACTTGGAGAGCCTCATGGCCCAGCAGACCCTCCTGGCTGACCTCCCTCCTTCCACAGGAGCATCTCCTCCTACTGCTCTGTACAAGCTTCTGGCAGGGTGCTGGTGTCCCTTCTAAGAATTCCCCCCACTTTTTGCTCCATACTCCCCCCTGAGAGACTCTTTTCCCACATGCCATGCCACCTTCCCCCAGAGCCAGGTGAGGGGGGTCACACTGCCACAGCCAAAACACCTCTTTGGGGAAGAGCCACTTCTGACACAGGAGGCTGTAACTTGGCGCCAGGAGGGATCAGGTGCCTTCAGCCTCTAACATGGAACAAAGTCTGGTTTTAAATTCCACACGAAGCTAAGAGCGAGGGAAAAGAATGGCATGAACACAGAGTATTTTGTTAAAAAGTAAGATCAGTTACACTGGGTGCAAAGTCCCAGGCTCTGCAAACAGCCACTGAATGGGAGAAAGTGGTGGCCAGGCAGGACACAGCCAATAGAAAGGGAACAGCTCAGTCCTCAAGAACTCCTCAAGATGAGGTCATGGCAGAGAGGAGAGATAAGACCTTCAGCTGGGGTATGAAAGGCTCATGCACTGGGCTTCAGCCCCTCTCCAGCAGCAGAAGCAGCAAATGGAGCCTGGATTATGTTCCTGTACTTCTTCCTCATCACATGAGGTCTGCACAAAAGCCTTATTAGGAGAACATTATTTAAGTTGCAAACTTTGCTCTTCGTAATACAGAATATTAAGCCATGTAAATAAAACATCAGTCAGGTTTTCCTGCAAGAAACCTGAAGGTAAAAGTTAGAATTTGTGGTAACAATGTCCCCCAGAGTATCTCAAATTTCAGCCACGGGAAGTGCACTAGGGATTAAATCAGACTTGGAAGATAAAAACATTTGGCTGTTACTCACTCTGAGCACACTACTACAGTCTAAAGTTTTGCTTTCACCTTTCTCTGCAGATTTCTGACCCTGGACTGCTTGACTGGGTAGGTTTAGCAGGGAAAGAACAGCTTTCCACAGCACAGCTCAGCCAAGAACCAACCCTCAGCCCCAGGGACAGCAGGTCTGTCTTCCCACACCAATTGCCTGCTCCAAGACTGAGATGTTTCAAACAAAAACCCTTTCAGCACAGTGCCCTGCCACCTTGCATGCCCTGCATGTGCTGCACGCAAAAGTTAGGGAACTGTTTACAAACTGGCATGGTACAGCCTCAGACCCTCACATAATCTCAGAGGAGTAGCAAACTCATTGTTCAGAGAGCATGGACAGCAGCATTTACTTCACAACAGCTTCACACCAAACCAACTTGAAGTGGTACAGAAGCACTAGTGGGGGGAGAAGGCAGTTCTGCCACAACACATCAGTGCTGAGCTGTTGGGGAAATGAATTTGTTTAATTCTCTTCTGTTACAGTAACTTCTACAATGTTCAACCTCTTGCCTGGGCAAACTCTGATCTAACACAAAGAAATCAGGCTGTCTTTGACCTTGCCATCTCTTCACACAGGAGGTGAAGAGCATTTTCCAAGCTTTCTCGTCATGTCTCAGCTATTCTTTTGGTCAGAGTACCAAGAGGCTGAGATTTTTCATGCTGAACTCCTCCCAACTCTTCTTCCCAATGAAATCTCAGTTTCATTCAAGGTGAAGAAAAACATTTTCTTGAAATTTTAAAGTCTCATTATATCCAGACAGTCTGCCATTTAGGATGTTGGCACAAGGGCATGGAGCGACAGGACAAGAGGCAAAGACCTTAAGCTGAAGGAGGGCAGGTTTAGACTAGATATTAGGGAGAAATTCCTCCCTGTGAGGTGCTGAGGCACTGGCACAGGTCGCCCAGAGCAGCTGTGGCTGCTCCAGCCCTGGGAGTGTTCCAGGCCAGGTTGGATGGGGCTGGTGGAAGGTATCCCTGCCCATGGCAGGGGGCAGAATGAGGTGATTTTTGAACCACCTTCCAACCCAAACCATCCAGGGACTCTATGTCTGATTTGCCTGTGCCCCGTGGCTCTCCCAGGGAAGGCACAGCTGAGCACAGTGCTGGTTCTCTTGTTGCAATGCTCTTGCTGCAGCAGAAACCCAGGCAAAAGCTAGAAGCTCCGTGTGTAGGAGGGCTGTGCATACTGAAGAGACTCCAATTTCACAAAGTGCTGCTGCACACACAGACTGCAGGGCAGACCATTCGATGAGTTTTGATGAGTTCATGCACTGAACCAACAGTCTGAACCATTTGGATGAGTTCATGCACTCTGCACTAAGGAATCTCTCATGTCTGGAAGGGAATTTGAGACTCGGTGTGATTTTGTATGATCACAACTTCTTGTAAATGATTCCATTTCCAGGGAATGTATTTTTGCCAGGCAAAATCCTCACCCTGCCCAGACAAAAGGAGCACAGAGTGTACCTCTGCTGGGAAGAGTGAAGCTGCACATCCACATGTCAGCCCAAAATGTAGCGTAAGGCTATTAGAAAAGTGAGAGTTCACCCAAATCACTGAGAGGACAATCAGCTATCACAGGGCATGCTCTTACCTTCATAGAATCATAGGATTTTAGGGGTTGGGATGGAGCTTAGAGCTCACCCAGCCCCAACCCCTGCCCTGGGCAGAGACACGTCCCACCAGAGCAGGTTGCTCAAGGCCTCATCCAGCCTGGCTTTGATACTGTGTCTGTCCCTGGAAACAGCTGCCCAGGAAGTGTTCTCAGCCTCACACTGAGCCACCAAAGCACGTGGCTGACTGTCCCAGCTCAATATTGATGAGTGTCAAAGGAAAGGTCAGGTTTGCAGACACAGCTGAGTTAACTCAAAGCCTTGCAAGGGCCATAATGGAAGTTTCCCCTTTAAAGAGCCATGCTAAAAATAGAGAGCAAATCACCATTCCAGACACAGCACACACACAAAACAGCATGTGTTGCAAAGAGGGTGTAAGTCCAGAGTGGCCATTGCTGCTCAGTCTAACAGCACAGGTCTCTGGGAACACCAAAGTAGCTTCCTTGAAGCACTGTTTCTGTATTACCCAGTGAAGCACATCCTCTGCTTGCACTCCCAATATACAAAGGGAGCAAAAGCAACTGTCTGATCCCAATTAAAGGGCTGAAGAAGAGCAGCTGGTAGAAACCATCTGCCCGGTACATGGAGCTATCAAGGAAAGAGGAGGGTCCTGTCCATGTCACTACTTACATTCAAGCCCTGGAGTTGATTTTTCCTGGTACTCAGTGTGATTTCCTTCAGGCTAGATTGGGTAAAACAAGGGAACAACACCTTTGTGTCCTGATAACACAACTGCAGTTTATGTGTGTATCACTCACCTCAAGCCCAGTGCAATACTCCTGGTTTTGGACAGTGCTTTAAAATGTTCTAAAACCTAACAAAACCACAAAAAGCACATTTATAAAGCACAGTCATCATGCTGCACACATCTCACAGCAGAGTTCTCCCGCCCCTTGTGACTCTCTCTTCACTTCTAAGCAGACCTTTTGCAACAGGACGGTACCCAGTCCTCTCCCCTCGTCTTGACCCTCCTCACTGCACAGCTCCATCACAGCAATGCACTAAGAGCAGGCAAGTCCCAGAGCTCTGCCTGTCACTTCTGACCTTTGGGGTTTGAACCATGTGATTTTATTACACAGAAGTCCAACAAACCTTTTCTTTTCCTGGTCTACTGGTGAGGCACATGCTGTAGGAGTGGATCAGATCCTCCTCCACTGCCACACTTCTCTGGGTTTACATTAGCTGGAAATCTGCTGGTGTTCTGCTTTGAACACAACCTGCAATAGCAGATTTGTTAACAGAGAATGACTTACACATCACTAAAAGGTACCATCTCTGTTTTCAGGGCGATTGGGCATTTTCTTTTAAGTCACATCATTCAGAGAAAGGAATTGTAAATGGAATATCCATTTTGGCAAAGGTGATTTTACAGTTGCAATATACTGTTGTCAGTGGCTGTACCAGTAAGAAGGACAAGCCTGTCTAGCTCTGTGGTCTGAACCCTTTCTGACAATGACAAAAATAGCACAGTTACCAGCCAAGAAATACCCACAAGGGCTGAATTCAGACTCTGTGCACAGAGCCAGCAGGAGGTTTGCTAGGCACCTTGTACATCCCAACTGAGCCTCTCAGAGCAGAAATAAATGGCACCCAGGCTGTAGCACAGGAACAAACCATCTCACACCAGTGACAGCTTCAGCCATCCCCATGTCCAGCCTCCAAATCCCAAGGTAAGGCTCTGCAGGCAGCAAGGCCACCCAGCCCATCTGCTCACAGCACACAGCGATGGGTTTCCCTGCCACAGCCACAAAGATTTTTTCCCATGCAAATGCATCAAGGAATCTCTTTAAC